TCTTTAAACTTTATGTTGACCCTAATTTTTTAAGCTTTCCGCTTTGTTTAACATATACAACTCAAACAAATCAAGCAAGAAATCCAAAAAAATAACACTAATCAGAATGAGACATACTTCAACAACAGGACAGCCTACATGTCCTGTAATCATCTTAAATATTTAGGCTAATATAATTTAGATCTGCCCTGTAAAAGTGTGTTTATAGCGCACTGAATGAGTGTTTTGTGCGAAGATGTTATTACCACTTGTCAAAAGAAAAGACAATGCGCTCACATGTCCTCTCAGATTCGATCACCGACAATCGGAGCACAATGCATGCTTTCCCTGGTTTGCATATTGGAACTACAACAGCCTCCTTCCAACTTTGTGGTAATTTTCCACCCTCCCAAACTATATTATATAGTTCTAGTAAAATATCCTTAGATGATTCACTAAGATGTTTTAACATTATATAACAAATCTGATCCTTGCCTGGTGCTGACATCTTTGTTTTGTTGAGAGCATGGTGTCGCTCTGTCTTTGTAAATTACTTGTTTAGTGAGTCACTCACACTGTAACAGCTCTTCATTCTCTGCTATTGTAGTTACCCTTCCTCTTTTCCCTTCATCGCTAATATTTTCCAAACTGTGAAGGTCTTTGCCAACATCTCAGCTTTCTCTTCATCTTTCACTGCTGTTGTTTCACCATCATTTAAAACTGGATACCCATATTCTCTTTTAATCCCATTCATTCTTTTAATCATTCTCCAAATGTTCCCAATTTCTGTCTCCCTTCCCACTGAGTTACAATATGTCCTCCAAAATTCCTTCTTTGCATTTTTTATGACTCTCCTTAGATTTGCTTGCAGTCTCTTATATTCAATAAGATTCTGAAAACTGTGATTTCTTTTCAACATTTTAAAAGTTTTATTTCGAGACTTAATTGCTTCATCACACTCTTTTGTCCACCATGGAACAATCTTCTTTATGTGCTTACCTCCCTTCTTCAGAAAGATTTAAATTATCAGCATCTTCATTAATAACAATTATCTGCATTTCTTGATCACAAATATACCCAAATTTCTCCCAATCAGCACTACTAAAAGCCCATATCTGGGATCCATCATTATCATATTCTTCTACTCTCAATCCTACTACAGTGAAAATAGGATAGTGGTCACTGCCAACAGTCGTCAATCACTATACCATGATCATCATCATTACCCAACTACCCCATACTGTACTGTGAGCATTAAAATCTCCACAACATATCACTTTTCCTCCTAAATGTACAACTAATGCATCAATTAACTCTATTGATAACTTATTACATGGATTGTAAAATACTCCAATTCTTTACCTTTCCCCAAAACCAAGCTGTCATCCCTGAGGACTAATGACTCCCATCCTCTGCAGGAGGAGATAAAAGCTCTGGAGAGCTCCTTCAGTGATAGACTGATTCACCCAAAGTGTGTGAACGAACGCTATCGCAGGTCCTTCCTGCCTGCTGCTGTCAGGCTACATAACCAGCACTGCTCACAGTAGACTGCACCATGGACACTTTATTGACACTATGGACACTTTATGGACACTACAGCTGTCTGCTGTTTTGCACATACAATCACTTGCACTAGATGTGCTCCCTTTATCCACTGCTCATTCTCATTCACTGCTGCTCATTATTATCCACTTCGTATTATTTTCATTATTTTTATTATTGTTATTGTTATTCATCACCGACTCTTGGATTTTTGTACTTATTTGCATGCTTAGTTATTTAAGTTTTTAAGTCTAATTTTGAAATCTTTAATCTGACTCTTTTTCCTTGACTGCTGTAACGCTGGAATTTCTCAATTATGGGATCAATAAAGGTGTATCTTATCTTATCTTATCTTATCTTAAACTCTGTATTGTATCCCTTGCTTCACAAATATTATACATCCTCCTCCACTTCCCTCCCCTCTATATCTGTGGATACTATCATAGCCTTTAATTTTAAAAATCCAATGATGGTTTAAGCCAGGTTTCTTGAACACATGTTATTTCTGGTTTCTTTTTTATATCTTTGATGAATCCTTTAAATTCCTGGCCATTTGCTGTGAGACTTCTTGCGTTCCATTGTAGAATAATCAGCTTGCTTTATCACCTGAGCCTCCCGGTTTCCCATCTGTTTCAAGTCTTTTGTTAATATGCTCCCAAGATACACCTTTCATACCCAAAAACCTTTTAGGTCCCCTCACAATTATTTTAATCTTCTCTGTTTTGTGTTTGACTTGATCAGTACAATTAATTACATAGGCCATGAACAAAATCAGCCTATTGACTTCGTGCTGTGTTAGCTTTCTGTTTGATCTTCCTCTGATCTAGGGAACAGGTTTAGATGACAACGGTTTCTTTAAAAACGGAAAAGTCTTTCCTTTGTGTTTTAAAAAACTTCTGCGTTTATATGACCATGTTATTGAAACGAACACCGTTCACACGGAGCCGCAAAATCTACTGGAAATGCTGTAGTATGCACGCCAGGCCCAATGGGTGGCAGTGTAAATTTGCAAAGCAACGCCACGGCATGACGCCATGCGCCTGCGCTGAAGCGCCTTCCTCTTTGCTACAACACGGTTATTACAAACCAAAACAAAGAAGACACAATGGCGAAAGCATGCACAGATAACTTTGTCTGGATGGACGACGAGGTGGAGTTGCTACAGTAACAGATCTACACTTCACTTAAAATCAACAGGGTGAGCATCACAAACAGAGCTCGGCATTGTTGTTGTGACGGTCGGCATGCCTAGTGACTGGAACCGTAATGCGCACGTGCGAAAAGTCTCCGTTTTCAGAGGAACTGCATATTGCAAGTTTACATGACAACGGAGACGCTGAAATTGTTGCGTTTTCAGGCACCCAAAACGCCGCTGTCGTGTAAACGATCGGCCAAAACTCAACTAAAGTTTACCGTTTTCAGTTGAAATCATTGTCGTATAAACAGGGCCTGAGAGGCCGTTTACACGTTGCCGGCTATTTTCATAAACGGACATTTCACCGTCTCCGTTTTCAAAAAGATCTTCGTTTACACTTACCCGTGTATATATACACAAGAGCATGCCAAACCTGTAGGTGGCAGTGTAACGAGAAGCTCTAGCCTTCCATGTATCCATTGTCACCATAGCAACATAGGCCGCATTTTTGACACAGGCGCAAGTTCCGGTGCATACTGTGACGTCGGCTGCCTATAACTCCGTTTATCTGCGTTTATCTCAGTTTACATGCAAACGCACAACCGGAGTTTTCCTAAATCTCCACTCTGGCCGGAGTTTTTAGAAAGACTCGTTTTCAGAGGAGAAATCTCCGTTTGCGTGTAAACGAAGGGCACAAACGAAGGAAGATGTCTCCGTTTATCAAAATCACTGTGTACGTGTAAACGGCCTCTCAGTGTCACCCCTTCCCCTTTGTCCTGTACCTTCTTCACGGCCTCTGCATAGCTTATGTTGTTAACGGCTTTCACTTGCTCAATTTCCACAGCCCCCTTCCTGACTTCACAGCCACCAAATGTAACCCTGTGTTGCCCACCACAATTGCAGCACTTATTTTGTACATCAGCTCTGCATTCCTCAACTCTATGTTCACCTCCGCATTTGGGACACCTCTGTTTTCCTTTACAAACCGCTGCTACATGCCCATACCTCTGGCATTTATAACAGCGAAGTGGGGGAGGGATATAGGGCCTAACTGGGAAGCTCATACATCCTATTTTCACTTTTTCTGGAAGTACAGAGCCCCGAAACTCCAGAAGCACAGACATAGTGTCCACCCTTTCACCATTTATTGTTTTTTGCTGTCTCTTTGCTCTATTCACATCTTTCCAAATCTTCATCTACAGGAATCCCTGTTATTACGCCTCTTGTCACTTTATTCTCACCCAGAATCCTTCTTTCACTTACCATTTTCTTGCAAATACTTTCCATCGACAAAGCTTTATTCTTCTGTTCCTCCATTTTATATATTATCGACAAGTTTCCATCCCGCAAAGTCTTAGCCATCTTCACCTCTCCTAGCTTCCTTTTCAACAGTCACCAATTTATGCCAACTGCCAAGTCCAAAGTCCAGAAAATCGTCGCCAAATGGCAAAAATGATCGACGTTGTTTGTAATCCTCGCTCTCCTACCACGTCACCACTACTCGGGCGTCTATCGACTCGAAAAAAAATTGGCATGTAAACTTGAAATATAAAGTTCCTCTGAAAATGCGCAGCGTGCTGAATGATTTATTTTGTTGCTCAAAACTATCTTTAGTCGCAAATGCAGCGCGGTGATGGACGATATCGCCACACTATCAACATTTTACTCCGCCCGTCACAGCGCGCTGTTTGATTGCGTTATCAAAACACGCCGCAATTATTCGGCCTTGCTTTTCACTTATTCCACCTAATACCGAATGTGTGTTTTTTGCAATATTCGGCAGAATATATTCGGTTACCGAATATTCGTTGCATCCCTAGATTAAACAAGAAGTAACACTCGTGTAAGTTATTTAGTTTGGCAATAGTGAGAGAGTATGTGACTATAGATAAATTGGGAACGCAGGGATGCGCAAAACATTTATCTAAGGAATCCTAAATAAAGATTAAGATAATTAAATCTCCTATTTGACATCAGCTCTTACCACTGCCCAGTGGGTCACCCGGGAGGGAAGTTCTTTGCCTCCTTTCTTAGCAGCGAATCATGCAGACGTTTCTCTTAAGGACCCCCAGATTGTCGCTTTGCGACTCCCGGCTTCACTTCACGGCCTTCCAGCAAGGTGATTCAAACTGGAACGCAGCAGTGAGGGATGGTGGAGCCTGGTGGCAGTCCTCACACGTTGCTGATATCGGGCTGCAGGTTGGCTTGGAAAAAAAGAGTTCCTGTGACAAGCGGTTGGCAGCCGCTGGATCTGATGAATCTTTGGGTGAAGAGGCCAGTCGAACAGGCGCTTGTCTACTTTGTTATGATTACTCGCTTATAATAAAAACTAAAATAAAAACATAACCATTGGTAGCTTTGTCACCTTCTACCTATGCCAATCCTCAATACCTATGTGCAGTTTCACATAGATTGACCACGTCAGTGCGTAGAAAAAAAACGTGGGACAGACAGAATGACTGACTGACAGAATGACACACTGACAGTTTCCGTGATTATGTACAGCATACCATACCATGACTTAGTCATACCAAAAATTAGAAAACACCCTGCCCCCCCAACATTCGGCCACAGGGGGAGCCACAGCGATCGGTCGCATTTTAGCCATTTTTGAGTGTTTTTCTGTTGTTATAGCGCCACCCAGTTGCCAATTAGAGTTGCTTTTGCTCCTTACAAAAAAGAAAAATGGCCTTATGTTTCAAATTGTCTTTCAGCCCCCTACACTTTAAGGAAACAAAAGATAACATTCACTAAGATTAATGTCAACTAAGGAAAGCGCAAAAGAAATGATGCACAGGAATGAGATGCTCTGTCCTTCTCATATTTCTGAACAATTTAGTGCAACAACTCTGAGATCTGACCTGTAATCTGACTAATAAACCAAGTCAACATACCTCTCACACAACATCTGAAGATTAGTGACGATATCAGGCAGGATCCACACACCGGTTGTCAATCAAAGCGTAGCCTTCCTTGAGAAACGCTCTCTTTCCTTTGTCCTGGGTGCTGCTGAGGCCCCCTGAGAAACACTCTGACCCTTTAACTGCTTGGGGCGTCTGTCCAAGGGCAGCTCCCTCACTCTGACATCTCTCCATTTAATGCATGTATAGGTCATGTTTGTGCATGTTTGTGTGTATTTAGGGCCTGTGTGTGTATGACAAAAGATTGAAAAATCGAATTTACCCTCAGGATTAATAAAGTAGCCTATATCTTCTTCCTTTATTTTCTTCTGGCTCCATCCAGCTCTGCACTTCCTGTAAATCCCTTTAAATATAGTGTGTAAATATTGTGTCCTCCCTTCTCTCTCCTCCAGTGTCCACACTGTTGAACCTGCGTCTGAGTGAGTCCGACTCTGGGAAGATGGTGTGAGAGCTGGAGCTTCCCGGCAGCGTGCTGATCGTCCCCCAGGCCACGCTGGGCTGGAAGGCCAAAGGCAGGGCCATGCAGTACCACAACAACATCAGCAAAGAGGACGGACTGCGGCTCTACGGAGACTTTGTTTCTCTGTGTGAGAAGGAACTGACGGCTGCTTCAGCTGAAGTGACGGTGAAACACGGGACGTATGGAAACAGACAAGTGCTGAAGCTCGACACCAACGGACCCTACACACATCTGATGGAGTTCTGAGACATGAAGCTTTGCTAGTGCCATCATGGAGGTCCAAATGGTCTCTAAATTCATGTGTAAATATCTATAACTGAGGCTGGAAACAGTACCTAAGACTTTATGTATTGATATTTGATGTATGCATTTTTTAAATCAACAAAATTACACTGGACTATGTCACAGTTTTTTGTGTAATCCTTTTAGGAGTCTTAAAAATATGCTCAGAAGGCCACAAAGTGTTCATAAACTCTGCAGTAAACATACCTGCTGAATGCATAGTAACATCTGTTAAAGTTTGTAGAGGAGGAATGAGGGTCTGGTGCTGTTTCCCTGGTTACAGTGAAGGGAAATCAAAATGCTTCGAGCATACAATGATATGTTAGACAATGGGTTTGTGTCAACAGTTTACAGAAGGCCATTTCCTGTTTCAACATGACAACACTAGGGTAAGGGATTATAATATAACAAGGGAAATTATTCCACGAGGGATTACACTGCAAAAAAATGCATCATGTTTTATATATTCATCATACGCTTTATACATAAACTACATCAAACCACCCATCAGCATATGAAATACTTAAAATCAGATGAAAAATTCTTATTATATGAATGCATCATCAATTATAATACAATATATAACAGTTAAACACTTTCACGACTCATTTTGTAGCATTGTGAGTACTTTTACTTTAAGTACGTTTTGCTGATGATACTTACATACTTCTGTTTAAGTAATATATTTTTGTGTAGGAGACTTGTATTTTCACAGTGTGGTATTGTTAAAGAAAACAATCTTAATAATTCTTCCACCACTAAAGAATGATGAAGTGGTTCTGTTATTTTGTCCACCCTCTGTGAGCCTGCATGATGCTGAATGGCAGGTTTCCTCCAGTCCAGCAGGGGGCGCTCTGCAGTGTTTTAGGGAACGGAAATGAACAGCGCTAACTTAGCTTCGGTTACAGCAGCCTTTACAACCTGCGTCAAAACGACTCCTCCGTCAAGTGAGCAGCAAGTAGCAGCAATGAAACCTCCGTTTAATCGATTTTACTGCCAAATAAAAGCACATAAAAAAGGGAAGACATTGAAAATTAGTGCTTTTACAAAAGTGTGACATACAAAGTTCACCTTTGTTCACAGTGGTACTGTCTGTGTGATATATGTGTAGCATGGATATGTCTCTCTTAAACTGAAACGACTGATAAATGATAAATGACAATTGCTATGTATAAGAATCACTAATAAATCAGGGGCAAATAATTAAGATATAACAAATTAAATTAGAATAAAAGGTAATTAAAAAGAGTTGGGACAAAACACATTAAAGAATAAAAGAAGAAGAAACAAAACAAGAAGAAGAAGGGGTAACAGGTGAACAAAAGTGGTCACACAATAAACAACTAACGCAATATATTATATAGTAGTTCAAAATCTTGTATTAATTTATGATTATTTATTTTAAAGATTAAGATTTACACTTCAAATATTTACAAGCTGAATTTAAACCATTATTTTGAAAATCTGCACACCGGAAGTTATACGATTGCGACTGCTAGCTTAAATATGCGAAATCACCAAATGGTGCATTTAGCCACAAGTTCGACCTGAAATTTAATACGTTAGAGAATTTATAAGTTTATTTAGATAAAGTGAAATTAATTAAGTTGTTTGTGGGGACAGTTGAGTCTAAAAATAACGCGTTGAAAGTTCGGATATTGTTGAAAGTCGATGACGGTGTAACGAAGATTTGTGTTTACCGGACACAAGATGTTCTAAGGTGGGCAGCGGTTTCCAGTTTGGAAACTTTAGCGTAATAAGTTTAGTCGTGATACATTTGTTGTATGGAAATGACATGGAAAATGTTGAATTATTTGCTTTTTAGCAGCAACAAGGAGAAGTTTAGCATTCTTATTTGATAATTAACAAAATACCAAGGATCATTTGTTTGAGCTGACATGCTCATGACATGGTGGGAGCTCTAAGGGATGTGAAAGAAACAGTCAAATATGTGGGAATTTTATAAAATGGGAAAAAAAATGTCAGAAAATATTTGATAATTTGCTCATTAGCTGCAACAAAAACAAGTCAAACGTTCCTTCTTTAAAAATATGAAACAATTATTTGAAGACTTAAATTGTTATCAGTAATTTTTATAGCCTGTTAATCAATACATTGACTTATTATTTAGATAAGGCAGACTGATAATGATTTGTTTTGTGACTGCTGATGAGTTGAAGAGTTAAAGTGTCTCCTCCCTGTCTTTGTCTCTTCCCTTACAGATGCCTTCTTTTGACCTTTTGAATAAGGTGGAGCTGTTTATGCGGGCAGGAACGTTTCCTGTAGGTGCATCCAAGAGCTCAAAGAAAGTGACCAGAGCTGCCAGCAAACACTTTATTTATAAAGGTATGTTAGAGCTACACTGGCAGGCGGACACCGGGATGCTTCTTATACATTAGAGAACAGTTTTTCCTTTCAATACAGTTTAGCCTCAACCCCGGATGTATAGATCCTGTTCCCCCACCTGTCCTTACCTTGTGAGCTCCACAAACAAAAATATATTCAACTTTATGATATTGAAATGGAAGCTGAAAATCTCAGAGACGGATATCTGGACAACTGGACAAATAACAAACTGTCTGCATGGTACAACCAGAGTCAATCAAGAAAACAGATTATGTGTCCTTTGGGCAAACTGTTCTTTTTAAATATAATATAATGCCTTAAAAGCATAGCTGTCTGTCACCATGTTTCTCAGGTTTTGTGGCTACTCAAACTGCACATGTCAACGTTTCACATAGCCCAGGTGACCATCCTGGATCTCCCATACTTTGGTCATTTCATTCACTAAGCTACACATAAAATGTGTTACAGAAAGAATGTTTAAAATATGAACTCACTCTGGATGCTAGTCATTTTTTGGATACTTATAAGGTGGTAAAAAAAAGTACTTAATATGAAGGCAAAGCAAGAAAACACAAGTAGTATTGTTGCAATATATTACGCCTTTAAGCTTGATTTTAATGACTTGAAAAAGACTGTTTGTTCAAATGAAATCATGTTGTTTTTACCTACTTAAACAGTTTCTGGGAACATTGCCTACCATCCAATGAGTTTATATTCTCTTCTTTCTTCTTGTCACCAATTTTATGAGGAGTTCAGAGACTGAAATGGTCAAATTAAGGGAGAGATGATGATCCAGGACTGTGACAGTATGATAATTCTGGATCGGTGTGGTGTAGTGGAGTAGAAGTATAAAGTAGCATAAAATGGAAATACCCAATTAAAGTATGTCAAAATTTAAAGTACAGAACTTGGTTAAATGCCTGTGGATATTCTCATTCATCCAGGTCATAGTTATCTCAAGGCAATTGAATCGAACGCAACTGGGCTTGGTTACCAAGTCCAGTTGCGTTCGATTCAATTGCCTTGAGATAACTATGACCTGGATGAATGAGAATATCCACAGGCATGTTGCAGAACAATTTGGGGTTGACACCCTCAAAATGGTGCGGGAATATGAAAGGATGGCTCGAAAGATTGCAGATTACATAAACCACCTACGGTTTAATCTGAGATGCAGACAAAACAGGCTAATACCAACAAGCCTACACCTACGTTCCACTATGAAAGGCTATAGAGTGGACAAGATCTTGGAAAAGGCACAAAACCAGCTATTAAATGAGAGAGTGAGACAGACCCATTTCACCACTGAAGGGCTGAAGGAGAAAGCGGACCACTTACTCCAAAAACTAACATCCCTCTTACCTGAGGCCGTCCTTGGAAAGATCATTGACTTCACAAATAAAGCACAACCAAGTCCAGTTGCATTCGATTCAATTGCCTTGAGATAACTTGGTTAAATGTTCTGACACATTATGAAAATAAATTTGACTTTTTTTGCGTCCCCTGTAACTGACTGTATTTTCTCCCTTCATCCTCCAGATGGCTGCTTGTGGCGTGCCTATCGAGGCCGCCTCCTCCGCGTTGTCAGGAGCGATGAGGAAGTGAGGGAGATCCTGGTCCGTTACCATGACAACAACAACCACGCTGGCCGGACCCGGACAGTAAGGGAGATAATGGTGAGCTTAGATTATATTATTTCATCATCACAACATAACAGTTAAGATGTAGTGATCAAATATGAAATTAAAAGGTTTATACACTGTTGTAAGAGTGAGTGTGACATTCAACGCAAATCTTCCTCCTCTGGGTGTCCAGTTGATGTATTACTGGGTCGGAGTGACAGAGGTGGTGAAGACCTGGATCAACGCTTGTGCTGTTTGTCGGAGCCGAGGTCCTGCTGAACCGCCTGATCCGCGTGTTAGCTTCTGCCTGGCCTACAGCTGCGATGCCTCCAGCTACGTTTACCCTGACCTCAGCTTCCACAAGTAGGACTCCACATTTTAAGAGTTGTTTGATAAAAAATGAAAAAGGGAAAAATAACTACAATCAATCAATCAATAGGCATGAGAATTGCTTGTTATGAATAAAAATATGAAAAATACAATTTGCATATTGAGGATTAATACATTTAAAAAAAACAGAGTATGACCCATCATGTTGTCATAATATGCAGATGATGATATACTATACCTGTCAGGTGTAGCCCAATCATTGTCTATGATTTAACTAAATTATTGAGGCATCATCCCGCAGGTTTCCAAAGGAGGCAGAGCGACGGCAAAGGTGGCTAGCGGTGGCTCAGAGAGATGAAGGCTCACTTCGCACTACCTCCTGCCTCTGCTCCAGACACTTTGAGCCGTCCTGTTTCACGCTGAGTGAGGAGGGTCAGCCGACTCTATCCCCAGACGCCGTACCCACCATCATCCCTGTGACAGTGCAGGAGGAAGAGGTGACACAATGCAGCCAGCACATACAGAATAATTTCTTTTGAAAAAAAGAAGCTAAAATTACACCATTTATGAATCATCTGTGATAGTCTGGCGACCTGTCCAGGGTGCACCCTGCCTCTCGCAGCTGGGATAGGCTCCAGGTTTTAAAACTGTATGAAAATGTTATATTTGTTAATGGCCCATGGCTCATTAAAAGCAGCAACAAAAAGAAAAGTTTTTATTCTCCATTAGGCATCTGTCTTTACTTTGTATGCAGACCTTACAGAGAGTTTGGACCTCAGTTTGCTGGTGGGATTTGATCAGGTACTCTTTGATTTTCAGGTTCCCATCCCTTCAGATGAGGACTTCCTCAATTCCAACACCCTGGAAGACCTCCTGTCCACAGCTGCTGCCGCTGCTGCTGCAGAAACCACAGACCCTCCTGAGCCAACCTTCTATTGCCCTGGGACACCTGTAGAGCTGCAGGAGCACCAGTACTGCCTCCCAGCTCCTGATCCGTACTCCAGGGAGGTCCAGAGGGTGGTGGAGGACAACAGCAGGAAGACCGTCATTGAGCCAAGCTTCACCGCTTACAACCAGATTGCCAGGTAGACCACCTGACCATTCTAATGTTACAGTTTGACCTGTTACAGTTAATGAGCTTGTGTGGAAATGTTTTGTATGTTGCATCCTGCAGGTATCTGAGTCATAGGGTGTTAC